AAGTGAGCCTTGCTAGCTGAAGCAGGGAACTGGCTAACGCAGCTGCACAAAGCAGGAGACCCGAGAACTAGAAAGGTGAGGCTCACTGAGCCATTTATCCCTCCGCCCTTCAATTAACCCCACATGTGTTTATCGGCCAGGTTGGCACAATAACTAACTACCTCAGGTCACATTAAATGTGGATTGAAGATAAGGTAAAGAAGTGTGATAGATTGGGTTGAGGGTTGGAATCCCATTCTCTCCGAAACACTGAACTCACTGCCAGCAGCCCATTCTGACTCATAGTGACCGTATAGGCCTGGGTAGAAGGGCCCCTGTGGTTCCCAACGCTTATTATGGAACTAGAAAGTCTCATCTTTCTCTCCAAGGTGGTTTCAAACTGTTGACCTTGTGTTTAGGGGCCCAATATATAACCAACTACGTCACCAGGACTCCCAGTTTCCTTCAACTTGACCAACAGACTGTGGCAGAAACAGCATTCTCACCCAGAGGTTAGATCATGGACGCTTCTGCCAAGTCTCTTGGAACACTTGCTTGTAGAACCCTAAGCTGCCAGCGTGTGAGAAAGCTCAAGCAGTAAAGGGGGGTCAGATGTTAAGCATCTCGATGGCAGCCACAGCTGAGCTCTTCACGGACACGTGAGCAAGACCTGTAGGCCCCCTGACCCAGAAGCTTTCAAATGCCTCCAGCCCCTGCTGCCACCTGAACATAAAAGCCACAGTGCTGTGACCTTGGCTGCCGCTGCCCCGAGATGGCCGTGGCTTCTCTCTTCCTGATTTGGATATGGCTCACTCTTGTACCCCGCAGATTGGGAGCTCGAACCAAGCCCCTGTTTAGAGTTCTCTACAGCGTATTTACTTGCGACCACCCACAGAGAATATGCATAGAAGATCCATATAAATCAATTCCACGTCACCACCGTGCTATTGGGCTTGATCTAACAAAACAGGTTCATTGCTTACCTATGAATCCAAGAATTGAAAACTCAATATAAAACCAATTATTTGTAGTGATGTTCTGGACAAATTCTGTTATTTTGGTAAAGTACATATATTTTGTTATGATGTCATCCTCTAGCTGGAAAAAAGAAAGAGAAAGGTACTGGTTATCGGATGAGTTATGCTGGCCTGAGCTGTAACAATACTGTGGCTAGAATGTAGTTAGAGAATTTTGTTTCACAAGCTAATACTTTTATTTTTAGTTCAATTCACTGAAGATCTTGATGGTTGGTCCATTTTCATTTTCTGGCTCTGATGTTATCCAATCCAAACATGATCAGTCTCCCCCACCCCCTAAATACCAATATGTAACAATCCACTTAAATCGTCTTTGAAGAATGTTCATCTAGATCGATTTTCAGCCTCACAAATAACTTGTTTTTAGCTTCACACTAACTAGCTATGCTTGACACAAGAGGTGTCATGTTCTATTTCCAGATCACGTGATGGGTAAGGTACCTCTTGGCAAGGAGATGACAGAGGGAACTGGGGCCTCTCGTCATAGCTAGCTAATTACAACACTGCTTCAGATCAACCCACATTATCCTGCATTAGGATGGATGCCGGCTTCAAATGTATATGACGCATACGCTATATAAATTGAGTATCTACAATGTAGATGGAGGGCTATGGAAGTCTTTCGGTGCATGATCAGGCCAAAGTTGAATTATGGTGCTTCAAATTAGCAAGAGTTCCTCATCTATTTCCGTTATAGTTGCTAGGTGCTGCTGAACCTGTTCTGACTACTCAACTTCAGTTGATTTTTTTTTTGGGGGGGTGTGGTTTATTTTAGGTTCCTAAATATTATTTTATTTATTTATTTTATGCCCTTAAATCATCAGTATAATTTATCTATTTTAAACAATGCCGGTTGACTCCTTGGCAGCTAAAATAAATCATACGTACATTACCACCTCATCTTCCCCCTCACTCCACCCCACCCCGCCTCAATGCTCTTCTGCAATGTTATTTCTGCCTTGCTAGGTTTTCCAGCACTTATATCCCAACTGATAACTATAATCGCCATATTTGCATGAGTCATTGTCTTCAGGTACCTTAATTCAAAACTCACGCTGACCCTGTTGGTGTGTGTCATCCTTACATTTCTTGCCTGGTAGTCTGGAGATCATCTTTATTGATTGGTTTTATAAGTCCGTCTGTGGCCTCTTAAACAGGGCAAAGACAAGGCTACGTTTCTTCAGAAAGAGTTGACGGGAACCAGGCATTTCCAAACTGTGTTGTCCCTTACACCCTAACTTTAGTGCTCACAGTCTTTCGGCAAGGTCACATTTCCCTCCTAAATATCTATAGGCTTGCTTCTTATAGTCTATATTCTGAGATCTATCGATTTCTAGACAATTTCTGCTCATATTGTGATGTAAGGGCCAAAATCCTCATTCTATTTCACTACTTTTAAAAGATCGTCCCCCACCTCCTGCATGCTCTCTATTGTCTGGCCATCGCCCATTGTGGAAAATCGATTGACCGTAAATAGAAAGGTTTGCTTCTGAACTCTCAAGTCTGTTTCATTGATCTGTACATCTGTCCTTGTTCTGACTCCGATTTGTCTGACAGCATGGCTTTAAAGTGGGTTTTGAAATTGAGTACTGTAAGTCATCCGATTTTGTTCTTTTAATTTGTCTTTCAAAATTGCATTAGCTATTCTATAGGTCTTTTACATTTCCAAACAAATGTTAGGATTAGCTGATCAATTGCAACAGAAAGGCCTGCTGGAATCTTAATAGAGACTGTGATAAATGCATTGATCCTTTTGGAGAAAATTGCCGTGTTGACACTTCTGGGGGTAGCTTTATTCTGTTGCATTATTAATTATTTGTAATAGTACAGACAGTGCTTTCCTATTCAGTGAAACAATTCCACATTCTCTACTCCTTATTCTATTTTAAAATCTCCTTTGCTGTTCTCACTCATTTATTTGTTTAAGATGAACTTCTCAGCAATTTATCAATTGATAGTGCCCTCCCCCAGCACAGACAAAAAACAAAACAACAATAAAACCCAAAGGCTATTTTGCATAGAATTTTATTAATTAATAGCAACATCTGAGGGAAACTGATAGTTTCATAACTCAGAATCTCCCCATTCAAGACCATATCTCTTCCCATTTATTCATGTATTATTTCATTTTTCCCCATTAAAGTAGTGAAATGCTTAATGAAATACCTACTGTGTGAGCACTAGACCCTGGGCCAAGAGTAGAGGGACAAGCACTAGGCTTAGTGGCAGAGGACGCTTCCTGGGTGATCAGCAAATAATGTTCATGACTTTATCCTCTGACCTTTGTTTTACTGATGGCAGAGTTTCCCCCAGAGGGCTTCCCTTCTTCTGTTTTCAGGATGCCGGAAAACAGGCAGGGAGTCTGACAAATCAGGCGCAGGGTATGGGCAACTGGGCAGCAGTCTGACCAGCTGGGAGGCTCCTCCCAGAGGAGCGTTCAGGCAGGGATTGAAGCCCACTCTCTCTTACACCCAAGTTCCGCCTGAGTGGCCACCAGGAGCATCTTTCATGTTCTCAGGAAAGCAGCTCTTTGAGGTGCTTTCTACTTCGGCATAGGAGGGTCTCCATCAGATACATCCGCGTCCTTGAGTTACTCTCCTGGCGGTTGAGATGTTTCTTAAGGCCTTAAAGACACAACATCCCAACCAAGGTTTGGGATCCCAATCATGTTTACTTTCACTTGACAGCACTCTTTAAAAATGATTTTTGATGAGGACAAGACCAGTAGCCCCAATGAAGTGGAGATTAGAGATGTCCCAAACATCTGACCTTTCCAAAATGCTACACCACTCCATGATCCTTGAAATCAACCACCACTACCCCCCTCAGTAGTCTCCCTCATGTCCCAGGGTTCTGCAGTTTGCTATGACATCTCATAGAACTCACATGCTATAAGGAAAATGGCTCATGTGGTTGTTGTTTGTTAGGTACTGTGTTATTCCAGGTAGACTAGAGAAACAAATTCATATGTGTATAAGAAAGAGCTTTATATACAAGAGCAATTGAATATTGAGAAAGCATCCCAGCCTAGTCCAGATCAAGTCCATAAATCTGATATTAGCCCATATGTCCGATGCCAGTTTATAAATTCCTCTTCAGACTCATGAAACACATGCAATGATGCCAAATGCAGGAAGATCACAGGCCAGTGAGTAGAAAGTCTTGTGGATCCAGTGGCTGTAGAGGCATCTCAGTGCTGGCAGGGGTCTCCACGTGGCTTCTCTATAACCCAGGGCTGCATCAGGGTAGATCCATGTGACTTCTCCTCAGGGACGTCTCACAGGAAATGAGCCTTGCCCACTGAGGCAGAGAACTGGCTAAGGCAGCTGCACACTGGTCTGACCATCAGAAAACAAGAGACAAGAAAGATGAGGCTCCCTGAGCCATTTATCTCTCCGCCCTTCAATGAATCCCACATGTGTTTATCGGCCAGGTTGGCACAATCAACCTTAACTATCACAAAAGGTTAGCAAGAGAACATGCTGAACACCTCTCCAAATTTTAGGAGGATCTATCCCATGATCACAGCCTCCTGATTTTCTCAGTTAAGCAGGGAACTGTTGATTTTCTTATTACAGGAACTGTTCAAAGCTGGAAACTCATTCTTATTTTAATGCAGACCTTAAATTTTGATGGCTAGTGTTCAGATCACAAGCCCAATGAAAATAAGGGTGGTCATTTGAGAGTCACACCCTCAAGATGTATCACACCTTAATCCTGCCTCAATGTATAATTCAGAGAAGGTGGAAAGAATACACAGAGTTGCTGTAAAACAAGAATAGGTCGACAGTCCACCATTTCGGAAGGTAGCATATGAGCAAGAACCAGCGGAGACGCAGGAAGAAGCTGAAATGGCAGTGAATGCATTACCCTGAAACAGAGCTCCAGGAATTGATGAAATGCCTGTTGAAATGCTTCAGAAAGCTGAGTAAGCACTGGCACTATTCACTTATCTCTGCCAGGAAATTTGGAAGACAGCTAATTGGCCAACTGACTGGAAAAGATTCATATTTGTGCTCATTCCAAAGAAAGGTGACCCAAAAGGATGCTCAAGCTATAGAACATTATAACTGATAATGCAAGTACAAATTTTTGCTGAAGATTTTCCAACAATGGTTGCAACCATACATTGACAGGGAACTGCCAGCAGTTCAGGCTGGATTTGGAAGAGGATGTGAACAAGGGATATCACTGCAAATATCCGATGAAGCTTGACTGGAAGCAGAGAATTCCAGAAAGATGTTATGTGTATCTTATTGACTCTGCAAAGGCATTTGATTGTGTATAATAAACCATGGATAACCTTGAGAATGAGAATTCCAGAACACTTCATTGTGCTCCGACGGAACTTGTATATGAATCAGGAGGCACTTATGTGAACAGAACAAGGCAATACTACCTGGTTTAACATCAAGAGAGGTGTGCATCAGAGTTGTGTCCCCTTAGCATACTTGTTTAATATAGATGCTGAGCAAATAATCAGAGAACCTGGCTTATATGAAGAACGTCGCATAAATTTTGAGGAAAGCTCATTAACCTGCAATATGCAGATAACACAACCTTGCTTGCTGAATGTGAGGAGGACTTGAAGCACTTGCTGATGAAAATCAAGGATTATCACCTTGTGTATGGATTACAACTCAATGTAAAGAAGACCAGAGTCCTCAAACTGGACCAATAGGTAACATCATGATAAATGGATGAAAGGTCGAAGTTGTCAAAGATTTTGTCTTGCTCGGAGCCACAAGTAATACTCTGAGGAGCAGCCGTCAAGAGGTCAAAAGATGCACTGCAATAGATAAACCTGCCGCACAAGATCTTTTTGGAGTATTTGAAAAGCAAGGATGTTACTTTGACGACTAACATGTGCCTGATCCAAACGATGGTATTCTCCATTGCCTCATATCCACGTGTACATTGGACAAACGTTTAATAAGGAAGACAGATGAAGCATCTATGTGCTAGAATTGTCGTGCTGGAGAAGAACATTGAAAGTAGCATGGTCTGCGAAAAGGACCAACTGATCTGTCTTGGAAGAAGTGTTGTCAGGCTGCCCCGTAGAGGCAAGGATGGCATCTTCCTCTCACATACTTTGGACTGGCTGTCAGCAGTGAGCAGTCCTTCGCGACGGACATCCTGCTTGGTAAAACGGAGGGGCAGCCCAGGAGGGAAAGGCCCGCATGAGATGAACTGACTTGGTGGCTGCAACAAGGGGCTCAGGCACAGGAACAATTGGAAGGCTGGCTCAGGGCCGGGCAGTATTCTGTTCCATTGTGCAGAGGGGCCCTATGGGCCACAGCCAACTCCATGGCACAAACAGCAACAAACACAACAACCTTGCCTCACTAGCATAGCAGACAACTCACTCCAAAATGGCATTCAACCATGAGTGTAGAGGCCAGAAGTTATAATACATACTAAAATGGAGAACTATGGCTACAAGGGCCATGTTAAATAATTAATTTCACAGCAGCAGAGAAAAATGGTAGAGAGGTGATTGTTTTCATTTTAAACATTTGCACATGTCTTGTTAAATTTATTCATAAGTATTTTATAAACTTTTCTTTTAAAAAATTGGTTATGGATGATATAAAGCAAAAGTACACATACTGATATTTATGCATTTGTGTTAATTTGGACACATTCATGAAATCACGTATTAGCTTTAATGGCCTTTACATTAATGATCTTATTATTATTTTTTAATAGGTAAAATTTTCTCTGACAATGATAATTACATGTATTTCTCTCTACCACATTTTTCTGCTCCTGTTTAATTGCACTGACTGAGACCTTCTAAAAGATTATGAAGACTAGCTTTGATTCCCATTTAAATGAGAATAAATTTTCAGTTAAATATGGGCAGTTGTTTGCCAACCCTGGCAACATTTAATAATTTTTAAAAATTATTTAATCATTTTATTGGGGGCTCTTACAACAATCCATACATCCATTGTGTCAAGCACATTTTTCAAGCAACATTTAATAAATTAAAGGCAAATGACTATAGCAACAGATACTGAGAAGCATGATAAATTTCAGGATCCATGTGTAATTTGAAAAAGAAGACATTTGCAACTGCTTGCAGGACCAAATCTGCAGGCCTCATTTAGTAAATACATTTTATTATTTCACAGCCATTTACTTATTATCTATGCTTTCTTTAGTACTACACCAAAGCAGAATTGAATAATTGTGACAAAGACTATGGGGTGTATAAAACATGAAAACTTACATCTGGCCTTTAACAAAAAGTTTGTCAACCTCTGATGTACTATTATATGAATTGATCCTGTTGTGTTCAAACATGATTGTTTTCCATTGTAATAAGTCTTACTCTTTTCAATATTGCTTTATCAATTTGCCAGTTTTATTGGGCTGCAGGATCCATAGTTTGAAACCACCAGCCCCTTGGCAGGAGGAAGATGAGGCTTCCTACAGTATGAGGTGAAGTCCTAGAAGCCCACTGGGGCAGGTCTCCCCTGTCCTGCAGGGTCCATATGAGCCGGACTCACCTCAGCGGCAGTGAGCTTGGTCTGGATTTCATGTTAGTACAATGGGTCGGTCTCTCGTCTTATTCTTGTAAAATTTGTTACCAGGGACATATTTTCCCAGAAGAATGAATTGGTAATATTTAGATATTTTTTCTAGGTTGCAGAGAAATTTAAATAGCATAGGAACGACCTCTCTAGGGCAACTTTGACAGTACTGACCTGAAAATCATCTGGTGGTAGATACTTGGTCATTTCTGGGGTTTGGGCTTATTTTATTTAATCTTTTAGTCCTCTAATTGTTAATTAGCTATATGCATGAACTTTTGCATTTTAGCTAGATTTTCCTTTTTGTTTTAGCATGTTATGGATTTGTCCCTCTCTCTCTATTGTTAGACAAGTTCCCTCATTTTAATTTCTGTGCTCTTGACCTGGTCCTTTCTTCCATGATCAGCCTCGCTGAGCCATTGCCTGTTTACGAGTGTTTTCAAAGAACAAATTTTTGCAACTTCATTTGCTCCTGTATGATGTTTTCTTTTTGCCTTCTAGTGTATTTGTTCCTGTTTATTTCTTTTCTCATTTATTTGTCGTTATAGCTAACATCTTGAGCTTCATGGTTAGATCATTTCTGGCTCTTAAAAGCATTTCAAGCTAGAATTTGTCTTCTACAGTTGCAGCTCTGTCTAGTAGACATTGATGGAGGTATAATATTCTTAATGTCATTAATTTTTCCATATTTAGTTATTATTTTAATTCAATAAATCAGAGTGTTTTAAAATTGCCTTGTGGTGGATGGATGTTTTGGATATTCTGTTCTTTAGTAAATAACAATATTTGCATGCAGGCTTAAACTCCTTCAATGGCCTCGCTAGCACTGGTTTTCTCCGAATTCATCCCTTGTCTCTCTACCTCTTGTGTATGTGCTTCCTGCTACCTTTGTCTTCAGGGTCTCTGAGTTCCTCTTGTTGTTGCTGGGTGCCATCGAGTCAGTTCCGACCCATAGTGACCCTCTACACAACACAATGAAAGCCCGCGCAGTCCCGCACCACCCTCACCATTGTTCCTCTGCTTGAGCACACGATGACCACCACTGTGTCAACCCATGTCCTTGCGAGCCTTCCTCTTTTTTTCCGCTGCCCCTCTACTTAACCAAACATGATGTCCTTTTCTAGGGACTGGTCTCTCCTGACAACGTGTCCAAAGTATGTGGGACGGATACTAGGTATCAGAATTTTACCAGACACCTTCCCAAGGCTGGAAACGCTAGAGCATCAGCAGGGTGAGGCTCCGTGCACTGTGGCTTTCTCCTTGGTCCCTTCCCTTTGCTCACTCTTCTTATTTGGGATGGACGCATCTAGTGATACACTTTCTACTGCAAACCAGCCGTGTGCGCAGGGCTAGTGCGGGGCCTTTGAGGGAAGAGAGAGCGATGAACATATGCCTGAGGGTGCCATGGTGAACCCGCGCTGAACATGCAGAAAATGCTTCTAGAGCATTAATTTAAAACACTTCAATTAAGTTCCTTTGGTTATATCAGGTAAAATTATAAGTTACATGCATGGGGTCATTGACATCTTCCTGGGGGCATGTACCCAGCCTATCACAGCATCTAATTTATTTTCTTCATAGAAGTAATACCAACCTATTGTTGTTGCTGTTAAATGCTATCAACTTGGTTCTGACCCATAGTGACCCTCATGTACAACAGAACATAGCACTGGCTGGTTCTGTGCCGTCCTCACAATTGCTCATGTTCCCACCATTGCAGCCGCGGTGTCAAAACATCTCCTTGAAGACCTCCCTCTTACCAGGCATGAGGTCCTTCTCCAGGGACAATATCCTTCACCAACCTGTTACTCTTTTCATAACGTTTGCTACTGTCTTTGTGGTTCTGTATTACAAGAATCTTAACTTACAAAGAAAGGTTACTTATTTAGATTTTTCTCCTTTGCTTCTTCAGAATTTAGCACGATAGCTGGTCCAAGGTCAGTGATCAGAATATATCTGCTAAACTGAACTTGTGGGCAAAGAAACATCAGAAGTACAAATTAAAATGTTCTTTTCTAGATTAATAACTATAAATATATCTATACATAGTACAATGACTATTTTTATATTCTCTAAGGCAGAGGGATACAATAAGGGTACAATAAATATTAAAAGAAATACAAGGAAAATTAAGAAAAGTATGTCATGAGTTTAAATTATATGTACAAAGGTCTTACCTGTAAATAATACATGGCCTTAGATTTGGCATAGAGCATCAAAAAACAAAAATCCAACACTTGTTTGACTAGGTGGCTAAAGATAAACAATAAAATCTGTTAACATTTCGATCATTTAATTTTTTTATTCATAAGCATATTTCAATAATTTAAGATGGAAACTTTGTCTGATGGTTTTCTAACACAATGCAAAGCATCATCTCCATAAGTAAAACCGATTATGTTTATACTAAAAAGTTAGTCAGTAGACAAGAGTATGCAAATGCTAAAACAAGATACATATACATATTTTATAAGTAAGTTAGTAAATTTTAATCTACAAGAATATGTAAAAGAAGTATTGCTATAAAATCATAGAAAATTAATTAAACAAAAATATCACAATACTAAGCGATGGTGTCTGGGCATGTGGCTATGCACTACTGAAGGGAATGTTTCCATCCGCTGCCCTGCCCCTGCACATTCTACACTCTTCTTTTTTTTTTTTTTTTTTAAACATTTTATTAGGGGCTCATACAACTGTTATCCCAATCCATACACACATCAATTGTGTAAAGCATATTTGTACATCATTTCTCAAAACATTTTCTCTCCATTTAAACCCCCGACATTAGGTCCTCATTTTTCCCCTCCCTCCCCGCTCCCCCCTCCCACATGAGCCCTTGATTGTTTATAAATGGGTATTTTGTCATATCTTGCCCTGTCCGACTTCTCCCTTCATCCACTTTTCGGTTGTCTGTCCCCCAGGGAGGAGGTCACACACAGTTCCATGTAATCAGTTCCCTCTTTCCTACCCATTCTCCCTTTACCCTCCCTGTTTTGCCACTCACACCACTGGTCCTATAGGGCTCATCCATCCTGGATTCCCTGTATTTTCAGTTCCTATCTGTACCAGTGTACCTCCTCTGGTCTAGCCAGTCTTGCAAGACAGAATTCGAGTCATGGTAGTGGGAGCGGGGAGGAAACCTTTAGGAACTAGAGGAAGGTTGTATTTCTCATCATTGTTACATCGCACCCTGACTGGCTCATCTCCTCCCCGAGACCCCTCTGCAAGGGGATCTCCAGTGGCCTACTAATGGGCTTTGGATCTCCACTCCACACTGCCCCCATCATTCACTATGGTAAGATTTTTTGTTCTGATGATGCCTTACACCTGATCCCTTTGACACCTCGTGGTTGCATAGGCTGGTGTGCTTCTTCCATGTGGGCTTTGTTGCTTCTGAGCTTGATGGTGCATCTACACTCTTCAATGTGCACATCAGAGTCGTCGTTTGGGCAGGCTCTAGGAACTTGAACCATGTACCTTTTCAGTGGTCTTGGAGTTTGGGGAACAAAAATGAGTCTGAAGGGGCAAGATCAGATCTAACAGGATCATTTGGGAAAGGTTTCCAAAGAAACTTCTCTTAGGTCAGCCCTGCTCCCCTCAATAAAGGAGCATTGTCCTGCTGGGGGACGATCCTGGTCTTCTTCTCACCAAAGCAGTTTTCAGTGTTCTCAAACTCCCCATGAAAAGCCCCTGTGATCATCTAACGGCCTCTGAGAAAATGGTCACGATTCTCCCCCTGGAGTCCCAAATAACAGTTGCCAGAACCTTCTAAGTTTACCTCTCTCCACCTTGAATTTAATTGGCCCAACAGATCCACTTAGGAGCCACGGTTGATTGGATCTTTTTCTTTTTTTAAGGCACTGTTATGAGGTAAGTGATTGGACTGCTGGCCGAAGGTCAGTGGTTTAAATCTACCAGCTCCTTTATAGGAAAAAGATGAAATTTCCTGCTCTGGTAAAGATTTCCAAAGCCTTGGGAAACCTCTATAAGGTCGCTGTGTGAGAAGGAATAAACTCAATGGCAGTTGGTCTGGTTTTGAGTACCTAGACTAAACTAAGTGTATTCCCAAGAGAGCTTGTCTTCCTCCACCCACTAATCACAGGACCGTGTTCAAACCCGTTTTGTTTAGGCTACACCCACGTGTGAATCAACTGGAACCTAATACCAATGCATGCTCTCCTTATCCTCGCATATAATAAGGTTAATAGTCATTCTGATTCCAGTCCTTATTCAAATCATAGAGAAATTTTTTTCTAATTCAATTATAAGTGAGATACTGGGCCATGCCCCGAGGATACAAAGAGCAATCAATGCACAATGTCGCCCCATTTCCGTGATCAAACGTGAAATCACAGAATAAAGGGAATAAAATTAGAACTGTTCGAATGTGACAATAAGGACCATCTGATAATCAACGGGCTGTGGGGAGCAGGCTAGGGAATTCGACGCAGAGGGATAAAGCACAAGCTTCACGGCTGTTGAGTCAGTTCTGACTCATAGAGACCCTACAGCAGCGGTTCTCAACCTGTGGGTCGCGATCCCCTTGGGGGTTGAGATAGTTTATTGTGCCAGCCTGGCTAATAAACACAAGTGGGATTGACTGAAGATCAGAGAGATAAATGGGTGGTGAGCCTCGCCTTTCTAGTTCTCTGGTCTCTTGCTTTGTGATGGTCGCACCAGGGTGCAGCTGCCTTAGCAGTTCCCTGCTTCAGCTTGAAAGATTGACTTCCTACAAGACATCCCCAAGGAGAAGCCACATGGACCTATCCTGATGCAGCCTGGGTGCTGGGGCAGCCGTGTGCAGACCCCTGCTAGTGCTGAGATGCTTACACATTCACTGACTCAGTTTTCCTCCTGCAGTCGGCATCATTGCCTCTGTTTTCTGAGGTGGAGGACTTGTGGACCTGGTGTTGGGTTAATGGGTTAATGTTGGACTTGTGGGCTTGGGCAGCATTGGGTTGGGATGTTTTCGTGATGCACACTTTCTTTACATAAAACTCTCTTACACATTGAGTTGCTGTGGATTTGTTTCTCTAAAGTACCTAGACTAATACAGGGGTCGAACGACCCTTTCACAGGAGTCGCCCAATTCATAACAGTAGCAAAATGACAGTTATGAAGTAGCAACGAAAATAATATTATGGTTGGGGGGGATGTCACCACCACACGAGGAACTGTATTAAAGGGTCGGGGCATTAGGAAGGTTGGGAACCACTGCCCTATAGGACTGCCTCTGTGGGTTTCGGAGACTGTAACTCTTTATGGGAGTAGAAAGCATCATCTTTCTCTCCCACAAAGCAGCTGCTGGTTTCAAACTGTTGACCTTGTGGTTAACAGCACAATTGGTAATCCTCTGTACCATTGGGGCTCCTGCAAAGGCTTTCTCTCCTTGTGTGAAAGAGCCAACCACGTTAGTTTCAGAGAACTGGTTAAGAGGATGGCAGCCTTGTATGTAACAAAGTACAGCTTTCCGGGAGCCTGGCTCATCCTTCAGGCTATTAGAAGGGACAATAAGTAGATCTGTAATAAAGAAGACCCGAACCAATTTCCAAGTAGGAACAGTCCTGAGACATTCCAGTTAAATTACCTACAAACATGTTCAGTGCTGCTATCCTACCTCTTAGTTGATTTCACAGTGCCTGGAGCCTTACACGCTTCTAAGTTGCCATGTCAGGCACAATGATTGGTTTCCATTCACCTGGAGGAAGGGGGGAATCAGGACGGGGTGGAGCATACGGAATAGGGGGCTACTTGCCTCTGTGAAACATTGCTTCCTTTCCCAGGATACATACCGAAATGGAATGGGACCTGGCTACCATTACTGAATCTTTTGGTCAAAGATTCCATAGAATAATCCTGATCAAAATGGGGTAAATGTAGAAGTGAATTTTTCATTTTAATGGAAACTTCCTATAGCCATAAATATTTTTTAAAAAACCTCTGCAACTATTACCCCGATATAATCTTTAAACCTTCAACTAAAAGTATCCCCTGTGATCTTCTTAAAGTCAAACAATTGTTTCGTGTAACTAGTAAAATGTATCTGCCTCCAACATTATACTCTTTTAAGAGCTATTTATATGGGATAATTTCCAACATGCACATGCAGAGCAGGCCCTTGGAAATATCATGGCTTGGCTCTGGCACACCTTAGTCTTGCAACTAAATGGACATTGAATAAGGAAGACTGAAGAAGAATTAGCATATCTGAATTGTGAAAGTATCATGGGGTGCTACAAGGACAAACAGCTAAATCTGTCCTGGAAGATGTAGGGTCAGAGGGCTCCTTATAGGCAATGGGGTAGCAAGACTTTGACTTACATACTTTGGCCATCTGGTCAGGAGAGACCAGTCCCTGGAGAAGGACATCACGTTTGGTAAAGTGCAGGGGCAGCCATAGAAGGGGAAGACCCTCAACAAGAGGGATCAACAGAGGCATCAGCTCATTGGCTGCAACCATGGCTCCGGCACAGGAACAATTGTGAGCGCGGCTCAGGACGGGGCAGTGTCACTGTTGTGCATAGACTCATTCTGGGCCAGAGTCAACTTGGCTGACAGTATGGGATCCAATTGACAACAACTTGAACGATTAGATAGGAACCTTCGGAGGCAGTGCGTTTGTGTTAACGAGGGAAGAACAATTCAGAGAAGGAGAGTGAAACGGCTGCCTCACTGGAACATAACCCATGAGGCTCCCTGATCAGCACAGAGAGCAGCGAGGGAAAGCAGCGTGTTGGCCAGCTCACAGCTTATGACTCAAAGCACTAGGTATTCCTGCAAAAGACAAGCCCTTCCAAAGATTTCTAGATTCTGATCTGCCACTCATGAGTTTAAAACAAAGCTACTAGGCTTCTGGGGGTGACACCATTTAACATTTTGGACATGTCCTTATGACATTTTGAGAAAACAAATTGCTACATTGCCTAACAATCTACCACATTTGTAATCAAACCGTAATAATTCTTTGCATGTGAATAGAGCTAAGACTTCAAAGTTACTCTATCAATACTATCACATTTTATTCTCAGGAGTTCAGCAAGCATGTAATGTCGATTCCATTATCTCACTCAATCACGACCAGCGAGTCCATGCTGACTCATTGAGCCCCCCTGTGGGTTTCTGAGACTGTAACTTGTTATGGGAGTACAAAGCCCCATCTTTGCCCCCTAGGAGCTGCTGGTGGTTCTGAACTGCTGACCATGCACATCGCAGCCCAACTTGCAACCACTGTATTGCCAGAGATCCCTAGCTATCAGTATACAAGCTCTAAAAAAGAGAGAGATTTTATTATTGTACACACTAGAAAGTTGGGGAAAGTAAGAGAAAATATTTGAAAAGCTAAATGTCCTTGCTTACAATGACCAGCTAACTGCAAAATGGGGGCTAAAATACAAGTATCATGATCTCTAATTCCAGGATTTTGCATGGCTTTTTCCTTCTTTAGGGGACCCTAGTGATATAGAGGGCTACCTGTTGGGATACTAACTAGAAGTTCAAAACCACCAGCTGTCCAGTGGAAGAAAGATGAGGCTTTCTGCTCCCAGACTCACAAACTGTCCCAGAAACCTGCAAGGGCAGTTCCACTCTGTCCTACAGGGTCTCTGTGAGTCAAAATGTACTCTCCGCGGCAGTTAGTGAGCTTTCCTTCCTCTGTCTTGGCTAACTCCTATTTGAATCATGTGAACATAGATCAGCAGCAGTGTACTGGTCAGTATTTAACCAGTGGCCCCTGGAGTGGGAGTGAAGTCTTCAGGTATAACTTTTGCCTACTTCTGTGATGCAAGTATTCCTATCATGGCCTATATCGTCCTATAAATTTGATATCACCAAAAACATTTGGAAGGTATGCTATAGACTCAGCATGAGCTGGCTTCAGCATACTGCTTAAAATACTTTCTATAAGGTGATGATTTCAATATTTTTTCATATCAAATTTATTGCTTAAGAATATAATTTTCTAATATGTCATACCTCTTCAAAGTTTGTGATTCCTTAGTTGATTGCTTGGCATTTAACATGCTGGGATATAAAATGGTTGGTATTGAAATGACCTCTATAGATCCAGACATCACTTGCTTTTTGAATCTATAATAGAAGAAAATGAGGCTTTCAATGGAATGTTTGATTTCCCAAAGTCATAGAAATGCTTTAAGAGACTTTCCCTATCCAAGTCCATAAACTCTTCTGATTGGAGCTCCTTTACATGATGACACAAAATACCAACGTCATAATACCAATAATTTTTAGCCAAAAGACCTATCGTATAACTTGAAGCGTTATTAAAAAAAACCCTTTACATTAGTTTATATTGGTACTGTGAATTATTTGGAAGTATCTAATCAGATATGTACTCTGACGTATTCAGGATCATGAAGTTCTGATGTCGCAGCACCGGCAGGAGAACGAGAGCACTCGGTCAGTTTGAAATGCATCATTTAGAGCAGCATGGCTCCTGACCGGGGATTACACCTGAGCAAGCAGGGTTCCGGATCAGGTCTGATCCTTGTCCAGTCACCGGAGAACTCAGCAGTCATTCGCATCTTTGTTTTCACAGCTTTTTACGGAGAGGCCAACAGGGCATCGTTATAATACACAAATTCCTGTTCGCCAAGGCAGTAACATCAATCTCCAGTGCCATCGGAATATGGGAGGGAGACTGGGGAGCCTGCCTTAAATGGCTTTCCTTGAGGGGCAGATAATCCGGCTTTAAATGGGATTAAATGTGTATAGTGTGCTATATAGTGTACATTATGTTAAATAGTAACATCTCAAGGAAATATGGGTTTAAACTATTAGGTGACAAAAGAGGCCCTGAGGCCCAATAGGCATGATCTCGGTGACTTGTGAAAGAAAGAGGCCATGTTGCTCTCATCGTTCCCTCGTGCATGCTCACATTTCAGTCACTGTGGTGAGGTCACCAAAATTAGCACACAAAGTACAAACGTCACTGCTGGTTCTTCAGTCCATAAATCACTACTTTGAGACAAACAGAGGCAGATGGTGTTCCACAGCTATGCACGATTGCTCACTATGCGTCAGTTCTTCAGTTCATGTACAGACAGCCAAGTGTGACATGACATACCTCGGAGATCTGAACACTAACACACATCTTGCAAGGAGCAACGTGTTCAAAATACCCACATGGATTCTTCCCAGACTCTAAGAGTCATCGGGAGATTCCCGGGTTATTTATTGATTTGATTTGGGCGGAGTGTGGATGGAGGAGGGAATGAAAGGGTCACTGGTTGCCCTTTGGTTTCATGGCTTATCAAATGAAAAGATTCTTGAGCCCCCCCGCCCAATAAAATGATTTTAAAAAGCCAACAACTAATATAACATTTTCTGGAGAATAGAAAATATTGGTAAGAAAGAAAAGAATAGGGAGTCATTTCACCTGTTTGCTTTAAAGTAAAAAGTAGGAACATTTAAAAGTGAAATTGAATAACTTTAAACCATAAGACTTTGCATAATTGTTTAAAGTAGCAGCTGCAGTAAAAGTAACGTCAAGTTAGGATGTACACCATCACCAAACATTCTGGGTTGCTGAACTTAATAAGAACTTAACTTGTCTTTTAGACAAGGTCCTTTCAAGTCCAGAATTCCAAATTTCAAGTTGTAAGTAATTTTGACCCCCATGTCCAAGAGCAATACTCTTGAATCCTCTCTATTAACACCTACCTGGGGCTTTCCAAACCTCTCTAGAGTGTGAGGTGATCAGTAGCACCCAGAGTCCTTGAGCTAATTATACCAGAATTGCTAGTTGCCGAGGACTGGAGAAAGTAGTCCACAGAGACAATGGTCTCTGTTCTAGTGAGGGGACAGTGAAGGGGTGGGGCACAGAACAGCATCTCAAGACTCCTTGCTAAGTCATTGGAGAGACCCCCAAACCTTGCTGAATTAAATCACCTTAGAAATCATTCAGAGAAGGGTGGGAGATAGGCAAAACTTGCAAACCAACAATGTTGAAACAAAAAATGCAGGGAGCTAAAAGCTGTGAAAATACACATCCTCAAACAAATGGACAAAGTGGATACTCACACTGCTCTAAAAGTTGTTTCACAAAAACCCAGGCCTGGCCGTGTGCCACTGTGTTGAGAGGAGGGGCCACCCCCCCCAAAGACCACGATAAATCTGGCTCTCTGATACCAGGATTCCATGCAACCCAAATCTATCTTGAAGAACAACTGCATGTGCACACCCTATTAGCATAGTCCAACCTATTACAATAGAACATCATCTTGCCCTAGAAATGTAATGAATATGTATAACCTTCCTGTTGCACCGTGTAGGGATAAAAAAACTCTGATCCCGCTTGGCGGTAGTGTGTTGCTTAGGTCCTCCTGGCTGCCACCAGCTGGCTGCTTCTTCTCTAATGAAACTCTGCTTGTGTAGGAATGTGCCTCTCCTGGCCATTCTTGCAGGATCCCGCCTGTGAAGGAGAAGGCTAGGGACAGGGCCACCCTGGCAGCAGGTACTTCACTGCTCATGAGCAGCCAGCTAAGGCTCTGCTATCCACCTCTCCCTGCTGGGAGAGAGTCCTGGCAACCAGGAGACCAGCAGAATGAGATGATCTCTCGTGTGACTACCAGCTGCTCTGAAGAGGGATCGCACTAGGAGGTCCTGGATGGAGTAGGGGTGGGGAGGGGCTGGGGAGGTGGAACAAACCAAAGGATGTAAGCAAGAACAGGCTTACTGGTTGCGTAGAGATTGGGAGGCACACACACCTTAGAATCATCAAGCATTTGAGATCAAAGGAGCAACATTTAGCCAAGGATAAGGTTCAGAAGGGTTGGTAAAGGGGGAGAAGTGGAAACAGTAAACATAGGGCAGAAGATGGATGAGTGATGTTATACTGAGGGAATTACCATTAATGACATGAAACCAAATGTGCCTGGATTACTGGACAACTGATATGCTTTGTAAAATTCCATATAATTCACAATAACAAGTAAAAATTATATACATAAATACAGAAGTTATGTGTCAATATTAATTTAGATACAACTGCATATTTAAATTGACTAAGTGCCCCAATCTAACACACAGCCCCGCTCGCTCGGTGCTCACCCTCATGGAGAGAGCAGTGAGGATAGGGTGCTACAGCAACATGTGCCGAAGAAACCAGATGGGGCCTGGCCATCAGAAAGAATGGCATCTGGTGCCTTAAAGGCTTGTCTTACATCAAGCAGCCAACTAAGTCCACATGGAGGGAAAACACCAGCCTGTCTGATGTACCTAAGTGTCTTATTTTTAGAAAGTCTCATCATTTTGTCTTCGGCTGTGTGTGGTTTTCATCATGTTTGGCAGTGTGTTCTTAGCATGGACTTAAGTTTGTCTCTATTTTCTCCTTGACGATCTTTATAGTTCTAGAGCTTACATTTAGGACTTCAATCCATATTGAGTTAGATTTTTGTTTATGGAGTGAAGTATGGGCTCTGTTTCGTTCTTCTGCAAATGGAGATCCAATTTTGCCAGCACCATTTGTTGAAGAGACAATCTCATCCCCATTTACTATATTTTGGTCCTTTGTAAAAAATCAGTCGTCTGTAGGTGAGTAGTTTTATTTTGGGGTTCTCTGTTCTAAACCATTGGTCTACGTATCTATGTTGTACCAGTACCAGCTCTATTGATTACCGTGGCTGTGTATTAGGCTTTGACGTTGAGAAGTCAGAAATACCCTCCTTTGCTCTTTGTAAACAGTACTTTGCATATCCGGTGTCTCTTTCCTGTCTATGTGAAGTTGGGATCAGTTTTTCCATTTCTTGAAAGAATGATGTTGGACCCTGGATCAGAAGTATATTTATAGATTGCTTCTGAGTAGTATTTACATTTTCACGATGTTAAAACTTCTTATTCAGGAACATTCTCCCATTTCTGTGGGTCTTTTGGTTTCATGTAGCAGTGTTTGGAAGCCTGTTTGTACGCATCTTCCTTTCTCCAGTTAGAGGCATTCCTACGTGATTTGTCTTTGGGGCGGCTCTTTGGAAGGGGGTCATGTCCTGGATTCCCTTTTCAGAGTTCTTTCCCTCAGCCATGCTGCCAAATCTTTCAAGTACTTCTAACAAGTTTTGGTCAAGTGTTGGGGGATTTCTACATACAGAATCATATCATCTGCAAACAGAGAGTTTTATTTCTTCTTTGCCAATTTGAATGCCTTTAATTTATTCCCTCAAATCCTTTGGGCTAAGACTTCTGGTGTCATATTAAATATGAGCAGTGATAAAGGGCATCCTTGTTTAGTTCCAGTTCACAAGGGGAATCCTCCCCCTTTCACCAACCACCATTGGCTGCCACACTTGTTTCATCTGGGTGGTCCAGTTTTATCTGAAATATTTAAAAACAAATCCTAGAGATCGTATCGCTGTACACATTTCAGTATATCAGAAACAGATATTACTCTGAGAACCACAAGGTCACCATCACACCTTACAAAACAGAAAACAATGGCTTAATTAATTGTTTGAAAAGAACACTGTAACCATAACTACTGTCCAGTTCGTTTGGACCCTTGAAGACTCCATGTGTGAGAGAGCTCGTGTGGAGCTGGGCTCCGTGGGATTTTCAGTGACAGGATTTTTTCTCTGGGCATCTCTGGGTGGAAGGAATCAAAAGCCTTTCAGTTGGTAGTGGCTGAGCTCTTGAAAAACTGGTTATGTTGTGTGCATATCCATAGCCTCTCACTTGACAAATATTTAACGTTAACTCATCGGTATGCGTTGGTATCGCACCTTTCGTGGGCTGCCTTGAGCAGACAGCGAGCAAGCGACTGTGAGCAGAAATGGTGAGGTCTCATCACAGAGGGAGGCACGGAAACAAGCTCAAACATAACATGGTAGGCTTCCTGCAGAGGCAATGGTTTCACAGAGGAGAGACACTACCACACTACAGCACGGAAAACAAAAAAGTCGCTTCTAATTGGTAGGTAACCCATGAAGTTGAGAAAAATCCAAGACACACTTGATGACAGCTTAACAGGATTATAAGTTCTTTCTTTGCAGAGCGACACTATTAAAATAATATGAGTGTTGGTAAAATGACAATGCAATTTGATTAAAAACTTAAGATAAGAAAATGAAAGAACAACTCCATCTAAGTTTATCAGACTGTACTTACTTCGTTTTAATCATGTTAACAACAGAATGTATGTATTCTTCATTGCTCTAAAAATAAGAAAAATAAGTTTTATTGAAAGTACACATGTCCAGTAGTTTTACTAATATATTTTTGCTAATGTGAATCGAATTTACCTATGGAATACCATTATGTCTTAATAGTTTCTAGAGTTTTCACTTGTAATAGAAAAACTAAACTTATCTATGTGTGAACTAACAATCTGATTTGAATAGAGTAGCTATTTCATTCTTGTCCCTTTGGTGGGTTATGAAATATCATTATACCCCAGCTACATTTTCAAAATAGTACACCCAATCTATACAGCTATATAAATTTTATCTTAAAAAGAATTTCTTAGGGTGACTTATTTTAAAGATCAACTCTTTTTGAGGATATCTTTATTTTGTGAGTCCATGTGATATTAAGATTACTTTGAAGTTTCACTCTATTTTTACCCTTTATATTTCCAGCTTGTTTAGACATTTTTCTTCAGTGAACAAACTTTGCACATTTACTCGTGATCAAACATACTAGAGTAGAAAGACGGTGCCTAGCTCACAAAAGGCTTCTCAGGTCTTTGCAGAGTCCCACATGGATTAAGCCTCCGGTGAATCCCCTCTGACCATGGTGGGGGGAGGTGATCAGTCTTGTGGTCAGCTAGAGAGCACTGTGAAGTCTATTAGGGCAGATGTGCTTAGGGTAAAATGTAATGCTTTGTCATTTGATCTCCCCCTTGACCCCTTTTAAAGTTGCTTCAGTATAAAAAATAAAAAAGCATATTTCTTTTTATTTCAGAGACTATCATTCCAAAGTTTGCTCATTATCTTTATGCTTTATATGCATGTAGGTAACTATATCTATACGGAACCCCGGGGTTAAGCTGGTAAGTGCTAACCACAAGGCCATCTGTGGAATGCTCCAATCACCCCTGGGGAGAAAGGTGAGGCTGTCTGCTCAGATGTTAAAGGGGCTGTTTCAGATCCATCTTACAGGGGCAGTAAGAATTGAAATCGACTCAATGGTAATGGGCAGGATCTTTCTTTCTCTAAATATATATATATATAATTTATGTACATACAAATACATGTGTAATTTATACACACACACACATATATATATCAATGAAGCCATGGCATTTTCAATTGCCTCAATATGCATGTGAAAGTTGCACATTGCGTAAGAAAGACCAAGAAGAATAGATGCGGTGTGAATTGTGGTGTTGGTGAAGAACATTGACAGTACTGCGGACCGCCAAAAGAACAAGCCAGTTTGTCTTGGAAGAAGTACAGCCAGAGTGCTCCTTAGAGGCAAGGATGGCAAGGTTTGGCTCACAGACTTCGGACACCTTGTCAGGAGAGACCCGTCCCTAGAAAAGGACAGCATGCTTGGTAAAGTGGAGGGTAGCCGGAAAGAGGAAGGCTCTTCCCATGATGGATCGACCCAGTGGCTGCAACCATGGGCTGAAGCACAGCAACAATTGTGGGGATGGTGCGGGACCAGGCAGTCTTTGATTGGGTTGCACATAGAGTTACTATGAGTGGGAGCAAAGTCAACGACACCTCACAACGAAGGTGATTGTACGCTGTGTCTACACCTCACTCACTGCCATGGAGTCGATGCAGACTCATCGTGATCCTGCTGGACAGGATAGATCTGCCCCGTGAGTTTCCGACACTGCAAAGCTTTACAGAAGTACAGAGCCCTGTCTTTCCCTTGAGCGGCCGATGGTGGTTTTGAACTGTTGACCTTGAAGTTAGCAGCCCAACTGGTAACTACTATACCACCAGGGCTCCAGGAGATAGCCCTACCGTTATCCCCCAATTTTAAAAAGTTCATTGTACATCACTTCATTTCACAAAGACTTAACATGGTTGTTTGGTGCCGTCAAATCAGTTTGGACACAGAGACCCCGTGCACCACAGGACAAAACACTCCCCCGTCCTACGCCAGGCTCACAAGTCCCCCAAGACAGATTGCTGTGCTCTGTCCATGGGGCGTACAGCACCGTCATTCAAATGCATCCATTCTTCTTCCATCTGCTGTGTTCAGTGCTCAACTTTCATGGCACATGAGGCAATTTAAAGTGCTTGAGACAGGCACACCTTCGTCCTCAAAGTAATACCCTTGCTTTTCAACATAAAGAGATCTTGTGCCTCAGATTCACTCAGTACAATATGTTGTCTTACCTTTGAACTGTTGCTTTCGTGAGCATTGAGTGTGGAGCCAAGCCAGACTACATTCTGGACAATTTCAACCTTTTCTCCATTTCTCATGATGCTGCCTACCGATTGGTCCAGTCGTGAAGATGTCGTCATCTTTACATCGATTTATGATCCGGACTGAAGGCTGCGATCTTTGGCAGTCATCAGCAAGGGCTTCAAGTCCTCCTCGCTTTCAGCAGGCAAGAGTGAGTCACCTTCAGGTTCTTAATTCGCCCTCCCCCAATCGGTGGCCGCACTCGACTTCACGTGAGCCAGCTTCTCTGATGAGTTACTCAGCACACGGGTTGAATAAGTATGGGGAGAGGCTACAGCTGACTCCCACCTTTTCTTTTCAAGCATGCCGTTTTCCCTTGTGCTGTTCTCACAACTGCCTCTTGATCCATGTACAGGTTCTGCAGGAGCACAATGAGGTATTCTAGAATTTCCATTCTTCTCCATGCTACCCATAGTTTTTTAATAAGCTATAAAATCAGATGCCTTTGCACAATCAATAGAACACAAGTAAACAGAGTTTGGTACTCTCTGCTTTCAGCTACGCTACACCGGTGTCAGCAAGGATATCCCTTATTCCACATCCTCTTCTGAATCTGGCCCGAACCTCTGCCAGCTCCCTGTCAATGCCCTGCTGCAACTGCTGTGGACGATCTGCAGTAAAAGTTTGCTTGGGTGCTCCATCAGTGCTGTTGGTCTAGGGTTGGCTCACCTTTCTTTAAAATAGGTACAGATATGGAGCTCTTGCAGTCACTTGGCCAAGTAGCTAGCTACCTTTCAAATTTCTTGGCAGAGATGAGGGAGTGCTTCCAGTGCTTCATCGGCCTGTTCAAACATTTCTAGAGGTTTCCCATCAATTCCTAGCATCCTACTCTGGGCTGATGTCTTCATTGCAGTCCCCTGTCACCAACCCCCACAGCCCACCACCCTGCCCAACTAAAATAAATCTAAAGGGCTTCACATTCGCGAACAAAGGTGACAAGTGAAACTAGCAGTCAGCATTTGCTTTGCCTGCAGCTGATGAAAGAATCCAAGCAAGCATCCCAAGCAGTGAGAGAGATGTCGTCATCAGTTTCCTCCCCTGACAGCACAGTAAGCATCCCAGTCGCCAGCTGCCAGAGTTTGGAACTATGTCTGTGACCACTACACATTTAGTGTTATTTTAGTTTGTGTGTGTGCGTGTGTGTGTTACTTGGTAAGTTATTTGGTAAATTTGTGATTGGGTCTGGGAACACTAGCAAAGTTTTTGCATATAAACTAGTGCAATTGCTACTTCACTTTCGGCCATTTTTGTATATGAAATGTTCTATAGGGAAGCACTACTTTCAGAGAGTGGAAAAATGTTGTAATTAAGTATTTAATCAAGCTCTTATTGATAAGTATTTCCATTACTTTTATAAAGCAGGAGGTCACTACTGAAATAATTATTTATTGAATAATTCAATAATTATTGAAGTAATTATTTTCAAAATAATTACTTATTGAACATTTATTCTTGCACATTTGCAGTTCATCCTAAATGCTTTACACTAGCTAATTTAATTCCCCCAAACCACCTTATAATCCAAGCCCACAGCCATGACCTTGATTCCCACTCACAGTGATGCTGTGCAGGGTTTCAGAGGTTGGAAATCTCTACAGAAGCAGACAGCCTCATCATTCTCCTTTGGTGTGGCTAGTGGGTTTGAACCACCGACTTTACCATTGGCAGGCCCAAACTTATAGCTCAGTGTCACCAGGGTTCACACCCTATAAGGTGAGATTATTTCCACTAGTTTACAGATACGGAAAAAGAGGCGATCGAGAAATTAAGTAACTTGCTCAAGTTCACCAGCCAGGAATGTGAAGCCAGCAGCTGAACTTTGACCATCTAGATCCAGTCTGTCTCCTTAACATCCACCCTAGTGCTGAGTCGGTGTGGCTCAGCGACATCAGAGCAACCCTCCATACGTCAGAAGACACGCTGCCCGGTGCTGTGCCACCCGCACAACCCTTCACCTGCTAGCGCCCACTGTCGGAGTCACCGTGTCACTCCATCTGCCTGAGTGGCCTCCTTTCTCTCTTCACTGACATAGTCTACTTTTGCAAGCAAGACATCCTCCTTCCGGGGCTGCTCCCTCCAGATGGCAGGTCTGAAGTATGTGAGGAGATGACGTCTCACCATCCTCGATGCTCGGGAGCAATGGGGCCGAACTTCTTCCAGGCCAGGTTTGTCTGTTCTTCTGGCCACCAAAACTTAGTCAGACCCACTGCCACCCTGTGGTTCTGATGCCCCGTGGTCTATTCTGGATGCAGTGTTCTTCACCAACCCCGCCATCCAAATGCATTTCTCATTCTCCCGTCTTCTTTATGTTGTGACCGCTTTTCACGTGGCCATTGACAACACCAGGGCTTGGGGCACGTATACCTTAGTCTTCAAAGTGACATTTTTTTTTCTTTTTTCTAACACTTTAAAGAGGCCTTGTGCAAGAGATTTGCTCAACACAATAATACGGCATTTCTTTCTTTCTTTTAAATCAACTTTTATTATGAACTGGGTATGAACTGGGTGAAGGTTTACAGTGCAGATGTTTTCCATCCAACAATGGTTTGTCTTCATAACCTTGCATATTTCACTTCTCCCCCATATCTCCCGTGTCCATCTCTCCTTCCTTTCAAACCCTTCTGAATCTTGTTCTTGGATAGATGCTTCCCTTTTGCTCTCAAACGGTTGATTATTTAAAGGTGTGTCTAACTCCCTACTGTCATTGTGCCCTTTACCTTGTCTTGTCTCGCTGCCATCAAGGGGACGCCGATGCACGGGCACCTTGTAGGACAGGTAGAACAAACTGCCGAGGTGGGTTTCAGAGCCTCTAACTCGTCACAAGAGTAGAAAGCCTTGTCTTGCTTCATTGGAGCAGCTGATGGTTTTGAATTGCTGACCGTGCAGTTAGCGGCCCAAAGTGTAAGCACTCCATTCTCCTCATAGCTCTGCCTGTAGTTTGCCTGCACATGTGGGGCCGGCTCAGTTCCCGACCTGACGGGAGAGGAAGGGCCAGAGGGTCTGGTGGCTTCCTGCCTGCTGCTTTCCTGGGCGTCCTGGGTGGGTCCAAGCAAAATGATTTCTCCCTCGACCATGGTCCAGTGGTGAGGATGTTTGTCTTGTTTTCCACACAACACCATCATATTTCTATTATTCTGAAATTTTTGCCTGATTATCTCATTAAGCTAAGTTTCCAGAATTAGGATTTCTGAAACAAAGCATATGCACACTTTGAATTTTAAATTTCCCTCCAAAAGGCTCTATGGTGTGAATATTTATATAGCGCTTTATTTTTTATATGGTATTCCAGGCAGGATTTAAAGTTTTGGACGTGGCCGGAGACCTAGATTTCAATCTGATTGCACTAGTTACCGGGCAAGCTCCTTCCTGTTAGCTTCAGTTTCCGTTGTGCGCCCGGTCACTAAGAGTCCGTGGTGACTCGGTGGCACCAAACACCCCAACAAAATCCGAACAGCACCACCGACTTTCCCCAGATGTCACTCAGGTAAACAAAGCTTCGCAAGATCCTCCCCAGGACCTCAGCTATGGAAATCACTCAAAAAGAGGTAGTTACTAATATTTGCAGTTAACAGCCCAACCTTTCCACCCAAAGTGCTCAGGGTTACTCATGCCTAATAAGGTTACTAATTAAATAACTTTGCTTAATAGTCTTAAATACTTAATAAAGTATCACCTAATTCATATGCCAACCATCGACTGGGCTAGGCAGGTTGCAGCTTGAATACTCTTTTTAAAAAGGCAATTTTCTGGCTCTATGGTAGGCTGGGCTCCTATATTAAGTAGAAATCAAATTTACCAGTCGTATTTCCACAGCAAACCATTACATATTTCTCTAAGATTTACATCTTTAATCCTTTCTCAGTGCTCTCAAACAATTATTAACGTGTATCAGCGACCTTCAGCAAATATATTTCAAAATGACAGCCATGCTGGCCATTGACGCAGGATTGGGGGAAATCGAGATGGGGGTTCAGGAGCGCTGTTCCGTTTCTGTACGTACGTCTGCAATCGAGACAACCACCACCGAGTCCTCCTCTTCGGACACGGTCATCCTGGAGATAACAGAAGTCAGGGTTTGCTTCAGGTAACTATATGCTCCTCGGCTCACCGTGGAGATCCCCAGGGCAAAGGAAACTGCAGACAAAGAAGCACACAATTATCATCCCACGCCGCAGAGGAAACATCTCAGTCCGAACAGCTTCTCACTTCTATGTTGGGAATCATTCTGTGGTTGTAAAAGAAGCCCTTGAAACTGTAGCGCCCCCCACCCCCACCCGGCCTCACCATTATTGACTTTGAAGCATGTTTTTCACTTTCTATGGGAGAACACTTAGAATCTTCAGTCTATTATTATCACCTACTGCTCCTGAGGGTTTTCCAGCTCGGCACAACCCTACGGGGCAGGGTCCACCCCAGGTGGAACCTTGAGCGATGCCGGGGACTGCCACATCGGGTTGGGGGTTCCGACTGCTGGCCTTTCTGCACAACCAAGGCTCACAAGATTGAGAGTAGACGCATTCTGTAGCACACATTCTCATACTGGAAGATCTTGGGTAGGGAAGAAGAGGAAGAAGCCACTGGCCCCTTTCTATTTATTATATTTTTTTGTCTAATGGGTGTGAGATGTTATAGATTGATTGAGTCTCTACTCCTCTTCCTAAAGGGAAGCAGGAAAAATCATCTTAAATACATTCATCTGGAAAAAGTATATGAAATCATTTCCCCCTGATTTGATGGGCATGAATTCATGCCCCTGTCTTTAATGCCCCCACATGACTGAGGCGCTGGGGAGAGCAGAGCCCGTGTTCTCTTGGGTCGATCAAGAGTCCAGCCGGAAGGGCTGCCCAACTCGCCCTTTGCTGCCTGGATGTGTGAGCTTGGACAAAGTATCCGTACAGCCTTTCCCGCTGTGATTTTCCAATCCCAAAAATGGGGATGATGCCTTCCGGAATGGCAGTGAGGAGCTCAGAAAATCCTGTGCATGAAAAGTAATCACGAAAAATCCCCAAGCATCTCAGAGCTCTGGCATGTGGAAAAGCAAGAAGGATTTTCAGTCAAGCACAGCTACTGAACTGGCGAGAGCAATGGAAATATGCACTTCCCTGATTACTTTTGCGTGTAAACACATTTTCTTATAATTATTGGCCTTCTGAACATATTTTGTGAAATCTGTCTCCATTCTTGCTCATTTTTCCTATTGATTTATAGATACTCTTTATAGATGGAACACGAGCTTTTTGTCAGTTATTTGTGTTGCAAATATCATCTCCCACTCTGGGTTTTCTTTGATGTTAACGAATGCCAGAAAGAGAGAGAGAGAGAGAGAGAGAGAGAGAGAGAGAATGGCTAACTCATAGTCATTCTCAATGAGGTTTCTGGAACTGTAAATCTTTGCAGGAGCAGACATCAGACAGCCTCATCTTTCTCCCTCAAGCAGCCAGTGGGTTTGGACCATTGACCTTGAGGTCAGCAGGTCTGGGGCCCAACCCACATCGCTACCAGAGCTCCTTTTGACTAGAAATTCTTGATTTTCATATAGTTGAGTTGACTCTAATCGTTTTCTTTATTGTCAGTACTTTTGACTTGGACTGAGAAATCTTTGCTTATCTTTCAGTCAGAAAGCTATCCCCCGAAATGATCGAGTGATTTATTGTTTGCCTGTATTATTTAAGTGTGCAATTCAATTGGAATGGATTTTTTTCCTGGACAGTGTGAGGCAAGAGGTCCACTTTAAAATACTATCCCTGGAAAGGCCTTAGGATGCCTTAGAAGGAAGACTGTATTTGCAGGAGGTACAGCGCCCCCAGTGACTGGTGCTCATCAAGTCCTGGTTCAACAAGCTCCTCTTCAAACCAGTCTCCCTCCCCTGCAGACACTGGCACACACCGCTATATTTTGCCCAAAACTCCCTTCTTGGTCGTAATCTTGCTCATTCTTCAGGATCAAACGAAATAACCTCTTTGACGACACAAGTGTGCTTCAGCCTCTCTATGCTAGATTCGGCGCACCCGTTACACAGTCTTCCTCTCTCATTGTACAAATCACCCTTGATTGTGGTTGGTTATCTGTCTTTCAGGAGCCCTGATGGCACAGTGGTTAAGCACTTGGCTGGCAGCTGAAAGGTGAGTGGTTCAAACCCACCGGTGGCTCTGTGGAGGGAAGATGTGACAGCTACTCCCCCAAAGAATCAGAAACCCTTTGTGGCAGTTCTAGTCCGTCTTACAGCTGTAAATGCCAATTGACTCAAGGCAGAGGGCTCGGTTTGGTTTATTTTTCTTCCTAGCTAAATTGTAAGTGTGGAGAGACAGACTCTCTTCTATCTTGTTCACCGTTATAAATCCTGTGTGACTATAACTTTGGACATGTTATCACGAGAGCCTGGTTTCGGGGGAAGGATGCCAGGCTTGGTCAAAGAGAGGGCAGTGAATCCTCAACACGACGGACTGACTGCAACAATGGGCTTAAATCCAACAACAGTCGTGGGGATGGCGCAGGCCTGGGCAGTGCCTCGTTGTGCTGTGCACAGGCTTACTATGAATGGCCTCTACCAACAACAGGATAATGGTTGGCACAAGATTAACAAGCGTGGGGTGAATAAGGGAACAGCCAACGCCCCCTTCATATTTGTTCCCTGGCCTCTTGCTACCCAAGCTCTCACGCCCCAATTGTGCTTGCAACCGTACTCCCCCTCCCCACCCCCACCCAAGCCCTTTCATTATTAAATCTTTATACATCGCGTTCCAATACTTGGATCACCACTGTCTACTTCTCCGCTCATCACCATGCACCATT